CTGTTTTTTAATCACATCGAAGTTGATTCGACTGAAATGAATAAAAGATGAATTATTTATACTCTTATAAACTACTGTGTAAGAATCACTTCTCGTCTAATTTATATCTTCATGTTACAAAATTGAATTTACATAAAGGGTGAGGTTACGGCAGCAGTAGCGGATTAAGACTACGTCAAATATATCTTCATGTTATAAAAATGAATTTACATAAATGGTGAGTTTACGGAAGAAGTAGGGATTAAGTCTACGTCAAATATATCTTCATGTTATAAAAATAAATTTACGTAAAGGCGAGGTTACGGAGCAGTTGGATTAAGACTACGTCATATATATCTTCATGTTACAAAATTGAATTTACATAAAGGGTGAGGTTACGGAAGCAGAAGCGGATTAAGTCTACCACAAATATATCTTCATGTTACAAAAATGAATTTACATAAAGAGTTTACAGCAGAAGGATTAAGTCTACTACAAATATATCTTCATGTTACAAAATGAATTTACATAAAGGTGAGTTTACGGAAGCAGTAGCTGATTAAGTCTACCAGAAATATATCTTCATGTTACAAAAATGAATTTATGTAATGGTTGAGGTTACGGAAGCAGTGGCGGATTAAGACTACGTCAAATAAATCTTCATGTTACAAAAATGAATATAAATAAAAGGTGAGGTTACGGAAGCGGTGGCGGATTAAGACTACGTCAAATATATATTCATGTTATAAAAATAAATTTACATAAAGCGGGAGGTTACGGGAGCAGTTGCGGATTAAGACTACGTCATATATATCTTCATGTTACAAAATTGAATTTACATAAAGGGTGAATTTACGGAAGCAGTAGCGGATTAAGTCTACGTCAAATATCTTCATGTTACAAAATGAGTTACATAAAGGTTGAGGTTACGGGAAGCAGTGGCGGATTAGACTACGTCAAATATATCTTCATGTTATAAAAATAAATTTACATCAAGCGCGAGGTTACGGGAGCAGTTGGATTAAGACTACGTCATATAAATCTTCATGTTACAAAATTGAATTTACATAAAGGGTGAGGTTACGGTAGCAGTAGCGGATTAAGTCTACGTCAAATATATCTTCATGTTATAAAATAAATTTACGATAAAGGGCGAGGTTACGGGAGTAGCGCGGATTAAGACTACGTCATATATCTTCATGTTACAAAATTGAATTTATATAAAGGGTGAGGTTGTGGAAGCAGTAGCGGATTAAGTCTCACAAATATATCTTCATGTTACAAAAATGAATTTACATAAAGGGTGAGTTTACGGAAGCAGTAGCTGATTAAGTCTACTACAAATATATCTTCATGTTACAAAAATGAATTTACATAAGGTGGTTACGGAAGCAGTAGCTGATTAAGTCTACCAGAAATATATCTTACAAAAACATTTATGTAATGTTGATTAAAGCAGTGGTGATTAAGACTACGTCAAATAAATCTTCATGTTACAAAAATGAATATAAATAAAGGTGAGGTTACGGAAGCGGTGGCGGATTAAGACTACGTCAAATATATATTCATGTTATAAAATAAATTTACATAAAGCGGAGGTTACGGGAGCAGTTGTGATTAAGACTACGTCATATATATCTCATGTTACAAAATTGAATTTACATAGGTGAATTTACGGAAGCAGAAGCGGATTAAGTCTACGTCAAATATATCTTCATGTTACAAAATGAGCTTACATAAAGGTTGAGGTTACGGAAGCAGTGGCGGATTAGGACGTCAAATATATCTTCATGTTATAAAATAAATTTACATAAGCGAGGTTACGGGAGCAGTTGCGGATTAAGACTACGTCATATAAACTTCATGTTACAAAATTGAATTTACATAAAGGTGAGGTTACGGAGCAGTAGATTGTCTACGTCAATATATCTTCATGTTACAAAAATGAATTTAAGGTTGAGGTTAGGAAGCAGGCGGATTAGGACTACGTCAAATATATCTTCATGTTATAAAAATAAATTTAAAAAGCGCGAGGTTACGGGAGCAGTTGCGGATTAAGACTACGCCATATAAATCTTCATGTTACAAAATTGATTTACATAAAGGGTGAGGTTACGGTCAGGTGGATTTAGGATTTTCATATGTTAGTCAAAAATTTATGACGTCATATGTAGCTCAAATATGACGTCATAGATGACATCATACATTGTATCTTATGCAGCGATTTATAAACTTTAGCGATCATAAAATTGCGAAAACTTAGATGAATTCCCTTTAATCAGATGATGACAGACTGTTTCGCCCAATATCAGGGCTCTTCAGCATGCCTAGGATGATGCCCCAAATTTCAAAGCATCATCCGACATGGACAGCCCTTTAAAGAGCCGAAGCCAGCAATCTGGTTATTGCATAGAATTAAATGCATGTCCTTTATACATAGGTACATCAACAATTTTATCTATAAACTAAAAAAGAATTTAGATGTAGAAAGACAAAATTTAAAAAATTCTCATGATTTCAATTAAATTTAAATCTAGTGTTGCCAACAGAAAATTTATCAATTACGCGTTGCACATCTGGAAGAATTTCCTGATGAATTTTCATTAGAGCAAGACCATTTAACCCTTCCTCAACCATAGTACTCCGCTTATAATCTTTAAGAATTCGCAGCGCTGAAATCGAACGTTCACATTCGCATGAAGTTATGGGAAGGGTTCCTAATATTTGAAGTATGACCTTTATGTTTTGAAACCATCAAAATTTATAGCTTTTAAAGTTGTAGCTACATTACATGGATAAGGACCTTTACGATGTTCCCAGAAGGATTGCCATAATAACAACTCTGCATCTAAACCTAACTGATTGGGTAAATCAGCAACATAAAATTTTGAAACAATCTTAAATTTATGTCTCCAGTCAATCCCATTTTTATGAGAAAACATTTTGTTGGAACAATACTTAGTCCTTGATAAACATTTACACTTTCCGTGTCAAATCGCGCATCCAAAGACGAGAGAAGATGGTCAATTAAAGGAATCGTATAGATTCGTTTGTAATACTCGAGATAGAACGATAAGGAGCGTTAGGCCTTGTAGTTTGCCTTCCAATTGTCCTACGTTTACATTCTTCTACCCCAACCTTTGCCGCTAACGTCAAAGCAATGTCGTACCATTGATCATGATATGAATCAATAGAATTCCTCACATGTGCAACACTGCTTTTCAAAGAAGAGATCAACTCAATCCCGTCCATAACATCAATACTCTTTCCTTGCAAAAGCTGAGTAACAGGAAGCGTTAGATCAAAACATTTCTGGTAATAACCAAGAGGGCGATAAAATGAAACTCAGAAAGACCTTCAAGCAAAGAGGATGCATCAGCAGCGAGAGGGACTGCCACCTTTGCCATGTTATCCAGTGTGTCAAAAATTTGAACAAACAATTCTTCGAAAGTGTCTAAACCTTTAACTCGTTCTACCCATCTGGTTCTACAAACATCTGGCAATCTAGTCTTTTTTGAGTCCGTTTCTAAACTATTGCGTACAGTCTCCTCAAACGGTATATTGCGTGTTTGAGAAATATTGATAAAATTTGTCACATCTTTTATTTTGTTAAGTACTTTCTTAACCTCAATATCTGACAAAGAATCACAAACTGACAAATTAAGCCTATGACTATAACAGTGGGTATATAATGCTTTCGAGTTGAGCTTCAAAATTTGGGCAGCCAAACCTTTAACACAACCTGCAACAGCACCCGCACCATCATAACCTTGTCCGCGACAGTCTTCAATTGGCAAGCCAAGGTCTTTAAGTTTATCTAGAATTAATTTAGCAAGGTTCTTCCACTCAATCCCCACTTACATTGAAGAAAGGCAATGAACTCCTCTTATGTCCATATTCTTATCAATAAAACGTAAAATTAGAGCCATTTGCTCTCTATGGGAAGAATCTGCAGCCTCATCAGCTATAATAGAAAAGAACCTATTAACCTTAATGTCGTTGACAATCTGTTCAGTAATAACCTCTCCAAAGCACTTGATCATTTTATTCTGGCTGGTCTTAGAGATGTAACTTCTATTTTTCCCACAAGATGTTAAGTGATCCCTTAAAACACCATCCCTGAACGAACTTTAAAATTTAGTGTCTCCACAAAATTTCCAACACCCCCGGTAGAATACTGACCAACCTCTGGATGATATTTAGCATCATCACGGTGGCCACGCAAAGGCAAACCTAAACGACCACAAAAAAGAATGCAATCAGCAATAGAAGACAGCTTACATTTGTTCTGATCGATTTCCTTTTTAAGATTTCTTTCTAACATGAGCTCTATTGGTTGCGCAGACCCTGACATTTGAGCACGTAAGGCAAATAAAATTGATTTGTTTGGGCATGCAACCCCACTTCTCCTTCATCATGGCGTTTAAAAGTAAATGCAGCATCATTCCAGCGTGAAACCGGTTTAGAAAACAAATTTGTAATCTTAGAAGCTTTACCAGGGAAGCGATGACCAAAAAGCACGCATGACAAACAAAATGCACCATCTTTTGATGGGGAGTAGCATAGCCAGTCATATTTTTTTAGCCAGTCATATCTAAAGCTCCTACCACCGGTCTTAGGAAAGGAAAATTCTCATCAGGCCTGAAAACATTTTTAATCAATTGAAGAACACCAGAAGTATCTAAGCCTTTAACTTTATCCTGGTAAGTTGCAACATCAAAATTATGCACAGAATGATACTTTTCTGGACAAGATTGACTAGCGGAGGACTTAATTGGTTGTTTCAACGTGATATAAGAAGGAACTTGTTTGGCAGAAGAAAAAGTTTCATTGGGCTTTTTTTCAAATAACTTGGATGGCTGTTTTTCTGATGCAGTAAAAAGTTAGAAATAATTGGAATATTACCAGAAGGAAATTTTGCCACCTTCTTGGAAAATAAGGAAGGCACCTTACGTTTTTTTGCTGACGTTGTGGCTTGTGTAATGTCAGCAGACTTTCGCTTGTGTGCACTTGCATGAAAAAGAAGAGGGACAAAATGGTTAGGCTGAAATGATTCTCCAGTTCTTATGTCACCTTCATGGCAGAATAGAATATGAATTTCTTTTTCAACCCTAGTAGTATGCAAGCGGGTTGAATAACACGATTAAATAAAAGTTTGAGCCTGTGTTGTCCACAATCCGGATAATATGTAACAATACATCTTTTCAAAACTGAAGACAGACCCAAAATACAAAGAAATGATGACCATTTACTATCATTGCAATTAAAAACAGCCTCTTTCTTCACTAAATTTTCCTTACTAGCACCGGTATCTAAGGACTCAACAGAGACAGATAAGGGTAAAAGATTTTTATACTTCCTTTAAAAAATCAGGATGCTCTTCAATGGCAGACAAAAGCAGGGATGCTCACAGTAAAAATGAGCATTCAGGAAAAGCTCAAGTGAGGTTAAGATTCTTAAAGTTGGAACCAATCTATCATCACCAAGCAGAGACAAAGACACGGAACTGTACAAGCAATTCCCTGAAGCTTCTGATCTAAGAAAATACATGAAGCTGATGATGAAAGAATTTTTGGGTTTGGTTCCAAAATGTTCTATGACATTATTTGATAAATGTATTATATAATCATGTTATAATCTTATTTAGTTTTATTGAGTAATAAAATAGCTAACTGACAATAAAATCTCGCGTAAATATGATATTTACTTTATGTTTTTATATTGACAAAATCTACATTCTCTATATGAAATGTGTAATAGTGCTGACAACTATAAGCAGGGAATGAATATAAGTAATTCAAATAGGATAGTTAATAGTAGAATTATAAAGAATCAAGGAATAATCAACAAGCAGGTTGAACTGAAAATTTTACAAGTTTATCTCACTGTACATTCATAAAGTTTTTAAAATGCGAGTCTAAAACCACAAAAAATCAGCAAGTTGAAAGGTTGACGAGATTTACACAACACAAGTGACCTGTAATATACAACCAGACGTTTTGCTGGCAACTTATAGCAAGCAGACTTTGTATAGTGCTTTCGTTTTGGAAACACAGCACAATTAAGCAAAAATGCTTAACTTCCCTTGAGATTTATCTGCCTGCCAGCAAACCGTGCGAACGTAAACAAGGCAAGTCATCAATACCGTTTGTATGCATATTTACATTCTTACATATTGTTAGTGAAATATGAGAAAATTGTACAAAATATATAGTTTACCTCAAAGCTATGCACGATTTTTCCTTTTGATTTCGAACAGCCAAAGGAATATAAGTTTCCGCGCAATAATTTCTGCTAATGCTGTTTGACGAGCTACTTATGGCACCCAATAGTTGCTCAAGCGATATCTCATCTTGCTCATTTAGTTGCCTGGCAAGATCAACATAAAAACCTGCCAAAATTTTACAATCATCTGCCGCAAAGGCAGCTTGAACAACACCGTAATCCATATCAGATACAACTGAAACTTTTTTAAACAAAGCGTGATTGCAATTTTGCGATGTAGCGAAAGATAAGACCTTCAAAATAAATGACCCCGCTGTGAATCAGTCAAAGTATCAAATAGCGTAAAATAACAAAGTAAAAATACTAGTCGATAATATAAAATATGATTGTTAGAGCCCTTGAAAGTCGTCAATCCATCAGGCCTCCCCACAGATACATCAAAACTGCAAGTTTCCATGGCAATAGGCGAATTGACCAATGAGAAGACTAAGATTTGACTTTTTGATGGATCTGTGGGCTTGAGATCATATTTGAGGCTAATTACATAGCTTTCCTTAAAAAAACGGCTGTACACTCAGGCCATTAATTAATTCTGATCGTTATGCTTTCGTTTGGCTTACGACAGTGAACTCGACATTTGAATAACTGTAATGATAACCGAAGCCAAAAATTGAAGCCAAAAAATATTTGTTGTCATCATTCGTCATCACACGTCAGGCTCTAGTCTCTCGCGTGTTCATTTTATTTTTTTTAAATCAGTTGTCCCTTGGTAATGATAGAGTTCGGATCTTGATCAGAGCGTAAAAATAACGAAATGTTTGTAATGAAAAGGTTCACGGAAAGTGAATCAAAGTGATAAATCGAGAAGCAAGATGAGGTGAACTTAGTCGATCTGCTCTTACGCTGCGGTTTTCCTTTTAAAACATATCAAAGTCTTTAGGATATTCAATTATTGATATCGAGATGACAACCATTTAGTATTTCAAGTTTCAAGCACTATCAAAATCGATGAAAAATATAATCGCTCAAAGTAAAATGCGAGTTATAGACTCGATATTTTTATGAAACTGGATATTCAAGTTTCTTTTTATTCGGAAAACATATCTTTAAATCCACTTAAATGACAAAAAGACAAACACTGTCTTTTGTTTTCCGTTTGAAAGTTTACCTTCCGACGAAAGAAAAATTTATGCTTGAATATTTTTCGTCATATTTTCTATTGTATTGTCTTTTTAGCAAACAGTGTAATTTTCAGTTGGCTTTTCCTCGTTACAAGTTGTAAGTTACAACGAACTCACTGTAGTAAAGTTTCAGCTGTAAAAAATAACCTTTTGCGAAGAGTTGGCCTCGTGTGTTGTTTGTCGTGATGTTGTTTATATGTTTATGCTTTTGCAATTTGTATTCAAATTTATATTGGCCGTGTATGTTTAGCACTCAGGGAATGATACTGACGTACAAACCGCGAATATTCGACTTTGAAGGACTGGAACTGACGTACAAACCGCGCAAGAGACTAGGACTTTGGCTTCAATTTTATATCTATAAAATGTATTGTCGTTATCATTCCAGATATATATATATGGAGTTCACTGGCTTACGATATGTGATAGTTGACTAAATTATTTATTAATTTTAGTATGTTGCATGAATAATTAATCACCATTTCATACGTTCGTCGCGTGATGGATTTGATGACCCTTAAATCCGCCCCTGTCAAAATGTGCTACAACTTTACAAGTATTTGATGCAGTTGCACTTCAGAACATCACAAAAAGGTTACTTAAAGTAAAGTTCTATAA